TTTGGCTGATGAGATAGGATTGTTGTTGTTGTTGTGTGCTTTCAAGTCGTTTCAGACTTAGGTTGACCCTGAGCGAGGGCCGGGTAAATGACCTTGGAGGGCCGCATCCGGCCCCCGGGCCTTAGTTTGAGGACCCCTGTTCTAGAGGCATTCTCTCCTGACGTTTCGCCTGCATCTATGGCAAGCATCCTCAGAGGTAGTGAGGTCTGTTGGAACTAGGAAAATGGGTTTATATATCTGTGGAATGACCAGGGTGGGACAAAGAACTCTTGTCTGCTGGAGCTAGATGTGAATGTTTCAACTGACCACCTTGATAAGCATTTGATGGCCTGGCAGTTGTATTTAAAAACTCTAAAATTACAACAGCAAAACAACAGAGAGGAAACAATCAGGGACATCTAATCACCTCTCAACAAAAGATTGCCCCAGGCACTAACAAGCCACACCAAACAACTGCCAGGCCATCAAATGCTAATCAAGGTGGTCAGTTGAAACATTCACACCTAGCTCCAGCAGACAAGAGTTCTTTGTCCCACCCTGGTCATTCCACAGATATATAACCCCTTTTCCTAGTTCCAACAGACCTCATAACCTCTGAGGATGCTTGCCATAGATGCAGGCGAAACGTCAGGAGAGAATGCCTCTAGAACATGGCCATATAGCCCGAAAAAAACCTACAACAACCTAGTGATTCCGGCCATGAAAGCCTTCAACAATCCACTTCATTTCTTCTGAACTGATTTCACTCTGGTTTCTCTTCAGATCGTATAAACTGATTTCACATAGGCTCATTTATCAGTTCTAAAAATGATAACGTGGAGGAATCCAGATAGAAAACTAAAGCTAGCTTCACAGTTTAAGAAATGGGAATGATAAGTTGCCATCTAGTGGAGACAGAAAAACTTCATCCTTAGAGATATTTTTTTCTTTACAGATATGGTTAATTTAAGTCACAGTCCCCAAAATAGAGAATAACAAGCCATATGGATTTAACCGTGACATATTCCGCAATCTAAAATAATGATAAATCTGTAATTTAGTAGAGGAAGCCAGAAACGCTATCATTCAGAAATTCTTCCTCAAACTATTGTGAATGTTGATCTTTAAACCTCTGTGGATAGTTGCAAATTAGCTTATCAGTATTTCATTTTAAACTGTGTCTTAATAGGATGTAGGACAGCCCTCCCTCAGGATGTGTTGGACTACTTCTTCCAGCATACCTATCCAATACAGCGAGTCAGGAAAACTGGGTTTTGCAGCTTAATAACTTTTGGAAGAGTTGCCCGATTCCCATGCCAAATTCAAAATATATTATTCTACATAAAACAGAAAGTATACTGTTGCACAGATGCTCTATGCCAACATGTTTAGATCCGTGCTATCATTTTATCAAAACAAAAGTCTTTTCTGTCAAAATAAATAACAAAATGCAGCCAAGAACAATTACTCAGAGTAGCAGCCCGTAGAATGCCTTTTATATCCAAATAGTATTATAAAAACATAATACAGAAATGCCATATGATCAGAATACTCTCAAACAATGAAACCAGTACTTGATAATATGTGACAGATTCATTTTAAAGATTAAAATACCCTTATATCATATACAGTATGATCCCATATCTGTGGCACCTGTACCTGCAGTTCCAATTACCCATGATCTTTGGCCACTGTTGCTGACCAAGGTCCTTCTTAGCCTTTTCAGTCCCTTTACTCAGACAGAAAGATCCAGACTGGCTGCTTATACTTATCTCAGCCCAGCACCCGTCCTTTACTATGCAAGGACAGGAGAGGAAAGCTATTGTGGGAAGTCAAATGTCTTATGGACTGCTGGGATGTTCCAAAATCAGTGCAGTGAAAGATGCCTTAACACTTTTATTGCAATGGTTTCATGGAGTGGAAGAGAAGCCATTGAAATCCACAAGCATGTGGACAATTTCAACAGAAAGGAAGAAACAATGAAAATGAACAAAATCTGGCTACCAGTATTAAAAAAAACTCTAAAATCATAACAGTAAATAAAGAATAACACTCAAGAAAGAGGGAAAGTCCAGACAAGAAACAATCAAGGCCAACTAATCACCTCCAACAAAGGATTCCCCCAGGCAGTAACAAGCGACACCTAAAAACTGTCAGGCCATCAAATGCTAATCAAGGTGGCCAATTGAAACATTCACACTTCGCTCCAACAGAAAAGAGTTCTTTCTCCCACCCTGGACATTCCACAGATATATAAACCCCAATTTCCTAGTTTCCAACAGAAACTCTGCAGGCAAAATGTCAGGAGAGAATGCTTCTGGAACATGGGCATACAGTGCGGAAAACTTACAACAACCCAACCAATCAATAATTTTTTTATACAATATTTTTATTCTGTTCTTCAGTCAGAAAGGATACCACAGTGACTTGTATATTGATAATAATAGGATAATCCCTTTCTTTTTATTGGGGATTTTTAGCTTACAACTTGGCATAGATAGTGGAATCAACCAAGAGCAACAATAAGCCAGGCAAGCAAACCAAAGTAAACCAGAAGATCCTTTCAGTAGTAGCATATAGAGCAACAGTCTACAAGATAAGGCAGGTAGAGAATCCCTCTGCTTGGTAATGTTGATTACAGTGGACCTTTGGTATCAGTGGGGTTTGATTCCCAAATCCCCCATGACCACCAACTGTACACTGAGCTTCTATACCATGTCAGTATTACTAAGTGGCATATATGGTATATTCAGAGAGCATTGCCCTAGAGCAGTGGTTCTCAACCTTCGTGATGCCGCAACCTCTTCATACAGTTCCTCATGTTGTGGTGACCCTCAACCATAAAATTATTTTTGTTAATTGTAATTTTGTTACCGATATGAATAGATATATAGATATCTGATAGGCAGGATGTATATTTATTTTCTTAAGCAAATTTGGTACAAATACCCATTATGCCCAAATTTGAATATTGGTGGAGCTGGGGAGTGATTTTGTCATTTGGGAGTTGTAGTTTCTGGGATTTATAGATCACCTACAATCAAAGATCATTCTGAACTCCACCAATGATGGAATTGAGCCAAACTTGGCACACAGAACTCCCATGACCAACAGAAAATAGTGGAAGGGTTTGGTGGGTTTGGAGTTGTAGTTCACCTCCATCCAGAGAGCACTGTGGACTCAAACAATGATGGATCTGTACCAAACTTGGCACAAATACTCAATATGCCCAAATATGAGAACTGGTGGAGTTTGGGGAAAATAGACCTTGACATTTGGGAGTAGTAGTTGCTGGGATTTATAGTTGACCTACAATCAAAGAGCATTCTGAACCCCACCAACGATAGGATTGAGCCAAACTTCCCACACAAAGCCCCCATGACCAACAGAAAATATTGTGTTTTCTGATGCTCTTTGGCAACCCCTCTGACAAGCTCTCGGGACCCCCAGGTTGAGAATCACTGCCCTAGAGATCTTGCAATCTTCATTAGAGATGTTAATGAGAGGAAAGGTTAAAGATTGGCAGGCAGAGAGATGTCAGATGGTGATACCAATAATATGGATCTAGGATGGATCAGGAAGGTTTCATTTAAATGTGCCTGGGCAACATCTCTGCAGACGGCCAAGTCCAGAAGCAATCTGCAGTTTCTCAAGTTGCTTCTGACACAATAAAAAAGAGAGAAGCAAGCCCAATAAAAAGCATAGAAATAAGGGAGGTGAATTGAGATAAGTGAGATGACTTATGAGGTCAATCAATACTAATTGGAGCTGGAAGATAAATCAAAAGGCTCTGAAGATGAGAATTTTAAAGTAAAAAATAGATAATGAGATAGTTTGGGAGGGCAGATCTCTTTGGTTCTAGCAATAGTAAAGACCAATGGAAGCTAATAGCCTGTTACCTGTCCTTGTCTAAATCCTTGGGAGCGATGTGGAGAGTGATAGGAAGCAAGTGAAGAGACAACAAAGCCATTGAGAGGTTGTATGGTTTCCGGTCTGTATGGCCGTGTTTTAGCAGCATTTTCTTCTGATGTTTCACCTGCATCTGTGGCTGGTATCTTTAGATTGTCTGAAAATGCCAGCCATAGGTGCAGGCAAAACATCAGGAGAAAATGCTGCTAGAACACTGCCATATAGACTGGAAATCACACAACATCCCAGTGATTCAGGCCATGAGAGCGTTTGACAATAAAACAAAGACATTGTATCCATAAGGAGATGAAGTGATAGGAAGAGATGTCTAACAAGGAAGAAGGGTTCGATTTGCCATACCTTTGTATTTAGTTGTTTGTGTTTAGGTATTTGAATGTTTGTCCCTATTTTTGAGCTTTTCCAGTTCATCTTCCTGGAAGGAGTCCAGCTATGGATTCACCACCCTCTAGTGGTAAAATGTAACTAAGTATCACAGTGTTTGCTTTTTTAAAAAATCCACATAGAAAGAAGGCAGTTCAGGGACACATGAAAAAGGAGCATTTATAGGTTTGATTTTTTAATGTCAATGCCTGTCAAAATAAGCTTGCAGTTTAAAAAAAAGTTCAAAAAAAGCTGCTTTTTCCAATTTAGAGACCTCTTTTTTACTTGACAGGATGGTGTTTGCTTTTGGATCATAAACTTGTATTATTGACTAAACTTTATTTTATGCATAATGCTTAGATGCTGCTACAGATACTATGTATATCATGTTAATATGATTTTTGTTTAACAGAAAACTAATGAGGATGCAGACTTTCTACTAGGGCAGTTTGCAAAAATGCAGGCTTTTGGATGTGCATGTTTTCATTTGCAAATATTCCAATAAGTGAACAACACTGTATCGCATTTTGGATTAAAAGCTGCACTAGCAAACCAATAAAGTTCACTGAATTTAGTGGGATTTTGGCCCCAGGTGCAAAGAGGTTGTTGTGGCAGTCTGATAACATGCAATTTTTCAATACAAGAAGAAGAAGAATAAGTTTTCTCACAAGAACCTCTCGAATGCAATTGCGGAAAACCTTTAACTATGCCATCTCTATTTTTTTTTTTAGATGTGACAGGACCTCCAACTCACAGACTCTCTTGTGGCCAGTCACCTGATTCAGAAACTGTAATATGGGATACCAAATACACTATTTTGACGGACAGCCAACTAGTGATGCTCAACAAGGAGAAGGAGGTAAGAAACTAAGTTGTTAGAAAAAGTACATTCGTGTTTCAAGAGCTTCGTGATGCACATAAAAGTTCAAAAAGTCTTTTTTTGTTTTCATAAAATGAAATCATTTGGTAAAATGAATATTCTTTGTGAGGTGTAGTAAATAATCCCTGAAACCTTTCAGTTTCCAAGATTTTAATAGCTCACGCATGTAGCACAGGTAATCTCACACATATCGTTTGCCCAACTTCCAAACTTAACCTCTTCATTTGCATTGGCTCAGCAATAACCACCCACCCCTTTCAGCAGGTGAGTACACAGGATTAATGTGCATATGGTCACGCATACCCTGGTTTATCTCTCTGCAAGAGACTGGAAAATATGACAACAGCTCTCAGAAACCTTCAACCAGTGTGACGACTGGAGCATTCAAAGAGTTCCCATAGTTAGCTATTTTAGGCTCTGAGTTCTGTGTTCACTACAACAGTTTCACTGACTGCAAATACTAAACCTATGCTCATGTGATGCCTCTTTCTCTTGCTAGACATTCTTTCTACCTAAACCTTCACACCTGCCTCCTTTCAAGCATCTTCCGCCTCCATTTATCTTGCTCTGTAGTTTCTAGGTATCATTTCCAGTCTGTGTGGCACGCCAGTGGTTTTTTTTTTGGGCTGATTTCAACTTTATAATGTTTATTTATCCATATATATTTAATAATATATCTATTAGTATAGTTTTTTTAAAATTTCTATTAGATAGTTTGGGAAAGGAAGTGTAAAAGTTGTTCGTAATTGATGGCAAGTGTATGTTTTCTTGACAAGGCTGAGAGAATGTGATTAGCCCAAGGACATAGAATCATAGAGTTGGAAGAGACCACATGAGCCATCCAGTCCAACTCCCTTCCTTGCAGGAACACAGAACTAAAGCACACCCTCCCCCCACACACACACACACAGTAGATGGCCATCTAGCCTCTGTTTTAAAATCTCTAAAGAAGGAGACTCCACCACACTCTGAGGTAGGATATTCCACTCCCAAACAGCTCTTTTCATCAGGACATTCTTGCTAATATTCAGTTGGAGTCACTTTTCCTCCAATTTTAATCAATTGCTCCATATCCTAGCCTCCAGAGTGGCAGAAAACAAGCCTGTTTCCTCCTCAATGGGATATCCTTTCAGATGGCAATCTTCAGGAGGAATCTGAAAACCTGGTTATTCCAATGTGCCTTCAATGATTGAATGTAGGACACTTCCTGTCCAAAATGACCTCAGAGGCACTTTAGTTTATGGTTCGTGCAATTAAACCCTTCCTCATCCCGGTTCCCCTTCACGACTATCTTTCATTGCCTATCTCCCAGTGTTTTTAAAATATTTTAATTTTTTATTTTTGAAGTGGCCCTGCCCTGTGGAATTTTTTTGTGTTTGATTTTATATGGCTGTGTTGTTTATTATATTGGTTTTTGCATTTTATGTTTTGTGTATATTGTGTCTATTGTGTTAATGGGCGTGGCCTCATGTAAGCCGCCCCAAGTCCCCCTGGGGGAGATAGAGCAGGGTATAAATAAATAATAATAATAATTCTCATTCTTCTTTTCTCCAAGCTAAACATACCCAGCTCTCTCAGTCATTCCTCATAGGTCCCCCAGTGCATTTCCATAGCTGGACAGAGATTCAAAGAAGAGTCATAGTCCAACATTCAGAGCATTCACCCATGCTGATCGAGTTGCACAGGCAGGGAAGTGACTGGATAAAATTTCTGATGGCTGGAGTACATTGATTAAATAGCTTCTTATACTTTGTCAGGTCTTGCTCAGCTGGAATAAATAATGCAAAATATGATACATTATGCATATATGCATACAAGTTACAGAAATCAACTGTTCTGTGGTGATTAATATTAAAACCAAACTCCAAAAGATCTCCTGTACTGAAGTATATCATATTTTTTTTCTTTTTCATAGTTCTTCAAACACTTTTTATTAATTTTGTATGTAGTGCTTTGCCTCCTGTGGAAATTGTGTGTGTGTGTGGGGGGGGGGGGGGGGGGGGGGAAGGGGAGGAGAAAGAAAGAAAGAAAGAAAGAAAGAAAGAAAGAAAGAAAGAAAGAAAGAAAGACAGAAAGAAAGAGGTGATAGATGTGGGAGAAGATAGGGAAAAAGTCTCTTTTTCAGTTTCTTGATATTTTTGAACAAGAGAGAGAGGGACTGGTAGAAGCAGTCAGAAAAGATCAATGCTGCTGTAGCACAGTGCAGCTGCACAAGAAAGTATGGAAAATGGAGTGTTTTTGAAGTTAACTATTAGCATAACCAGAGTTAAGGTCCTCCTTTTATTGCTCCCAAAACTGGAGACGTTACACATACATTTGATTGCTCTGTACAAAGGTCCATGTTCCCACTCCATCAGCAGTGCGTTGACTGCTAGAGAGAAAATACTGGCTCAACTCCTTCGTTTCTTCCATGGGTGCTTGCACTTCAAAAAAATAAGCTGCAGTGCACAGCATAAACTGGAATTTTCAGCCACTCAGTATTCATAACTGTATGTCACCTGAATGACTACAGTGCGATCTAACAAATGAAAGGAAACTTTGTCTTGATGGCTACATGTGTTTGTTTGTCATTAAATGGAGAAGTAGTCAAAATGCTGTTTTGTCGTTCTCTTTGGGGCCGTTTGAAGACGTTAACCAGACAGTTTACAACAGCTGTTTGCTAATTCTGCACTTGAGATGAGGTGCCACTAACAATAATTGCTTGGAACTTTAGCAAATGCTGTTAGTCTAATTATAAATCCATTGTATGCTCAGAGACAAAGTGGAAAGGCACTCCACTATAACTTCTTCACCAAGGTTACTCAGCATAGGGTGTACTGGTACATTATTAGGAGGTTACATTCAAGTAAGTGAGTGTAGTACAGGGGCGGCCCAACCCATTATGCAAAGTAAGCATTTGCAGTATAGTTGATTTTGCCCAGGGGCGCTCTTGAGGCGCTCTTGAGGGAAAATAGACCTTGACATATGCGAGTTGTAGTTACTGGGATGTATAGATCACCTACAATCAAAGAACATTCTGAACTCCACCAATGATGGAATTGAACCAAATATGGCACACAGAACTCCCACGACAAACAGAAAATATATATATCAGTGATTGGGGGGGGGGGGGCGAAATACTGCTTGCTTACCATTGAAAATTACCTAGGGCCGCCTCTGGTGTAGTATGTCTATCCTGCCCTTTTCCTAGTGGGAATCTTCAATGCCTTAGTTCCAGAAGGCTAGGAGCCATATTAGGCCCCTTCCACGCAACTGAATAAAATCCCACTTTTTCTGCTTTGAATGTGTGGCAGTGTGCATTCCGATAACCCAGTTCAAAACAGATATTGTGGGATTTTCTGCCTTGATATTCTGGGTTACATGGCTATATGGAAGGGCCCTTAGTCTGCTGCAGCTAAAACATGAGTCTTGTGGCACTAAACACTACTTATTGTAGTATAAACATTACTAGACCAAGTAGCAACAGTCAGAACTGACCACGGAACAACAGACTGGTTCAAGATTGGGAAAGGCGTACGGCAAGGCTGCATCCTCTCACCCAACCTTTTTAACTTGTATGCAGAACACATCATGCGATGTGCGGGGCTGGATGAATGCAAAGCTGGGGTGAAAATTGCTGGAAGAAACATTAACAACCTCAGATATGCAGATGACACCACTCTGATGGCAGAAAGCGAGGAGGAGCTGAGGAGCCTTCTAATCAAGGTGAAAGAAGAAAGCGCAAAAGCCGGGTTGCAGCTAAACGTCAAAAAAACCAAGATTATGGCAACAAGAATGATTGACAACTGGAAAATAGGAGAAACCGTGGAGGCCGTGACAGACTTTGTATTTCTAGGTGCAAAGATTACTGCAGATGCAGACTGTGGCCAGGAAATCAGAAGACGCTTACTTCTTGGGAGGAGAGCAATGTCCAATCTCGATAAAATAGTGAAGAGTAGAGACATCAGACTGGCAACAAAGATCCGCCTAGTCAAAGCCATGGTATTCCCTGTAGTAACCTACGGATGTGAGAGCTGGACCTTAGGGAAGGCTGAGCGAAGGAAGATCGATGCTTTTGAGCTGTGGTGTTGGAGGAAAGTTCTGAGAGTGCTTTGGACTGCGAGAAGATCCAACCAGTCCATCCTCCAGGAAATAAAGCCCGACTGCTCACTGGAGGGAAAGATACTAGAGACAAAGTTGAAGTACTTTGGCCACATCATGAGGAGACAGGAAAGCCTAGAGAAGACAATTATGCTGGGAAGTGGAAGGCAAAAGGAAGAGGGGCCGACCAAGGGCAAGATGGATGGATGGCATCCTTGAAGTGACTGGACTGACCTTGAGGGAGCTGGGGGTGGTAACGGCCGACAGGGAGCTCTGGCGTAGGCTGGTTCATGAGGTCACGAAGAGTCGGAGACGACTGAACGAATGAACAACAAAAGATGTATAAATGGTTGCTCTACACTGTTAAGCTTAAAGGTATTTCATATCTCTTGCTTTAAGGAATTAGATATAAATGTTTCATGATAAAAATGTCCTTCTGGTGCAAGATGTGGTTAAACAGTTCAAACCTCAGACTGAAGACTAAGACTGAATGAGGAAGCTTATTCTCCAGTTCGCATCAGTCATTGCTATGGCTTTATTGACTAAAAGCAGTGATAGAGAAGATCACTGCTTGCACACAAGCTTGCAATAAAAAAACATATTTTTGTTATTTTAACTGTTTGAATGTATTTGGAAGTGCTGAATTCAGAAAACAGTACCACTGTCACTTCTTTCATAAATTTCATTCCTGATTTCAATGCTAATTTAATCAAATTATACATTACAACATGGAAATGGCAAAGCAAGTTGTGAAAAAACTGTGTGTGATGGAGCAAATCAGAGGTCAATTTTGGATTTAGAATTCCAAATTCCTATAAAAGGTCAATAAAATGTTTATGACCCTGAATTTTGCAAGCCTGTGAATTGGCCAAAATTATACCTGCACATTCTGGTTGTAT